TGCAATGCTAAGGGGTTGCTGTGAACATTAACATCTGGGTTACTGCTATAATTGCTAATTCAAAATGTCAGGAATCCAGAAAGTAAACTTTTTATTATGACACACATGCAGAATAGCACATAAATCAAAGGTGTACATTTTGTCAACATTTTTAATGTGGGAATTTAAATTGTTAACGAGCATATAATATATGCCATTAGGAGGGAAGATCAAAAATGAAACCCAGGAACTAGAGGTCTGGCTGTATTCACAGGCTTGCTCTTTTCTGTACCCTTAATGACACCCAAGTGTCTTGTTTCCTGCTGTTCATAGGATGGGGTAGCACAGCTAACTCTCAAAATGGATTAGAAAGATGCTTCAGGATATAAAGGATCTTAAATACAAGTATAATTGTCCGGACTGAAGTTGATTTAAAAGTTGGAACTCATAAACATGGCAGATAACCTTGGGTCAATAAATGTTTCACAAAACATGCAAGGCAGACTCATTTATGTATTCACTAGACAGACAGTCCATCCATCTTTACAGGAACAATGCACAATGTACAAAAAAACCCAGTTATTATTATGCATCGCTTCCTTAACAGGAGGACTTTGAGTTTGTTTTTTCCTTTAAAAAAAATGTTTTTTCTCTAATGGCTGTGACGTTTGATTTCCTCACCTGCCGATCTCTAAACTGTATGTCTGTAAGTTGTAAATTGAAGATTTAAACCATATCAGTTGTTTAAAACAATTACACACAATGCACCTACCTTTGCTCTCACACACTTCCATTGTACGATTACATCAAGGTCCACGTCTCCGCTACTATCTGACCCTTGTTCACTTTCTTCCCTCCCCTCCACCCACCAAACTTTGCCCTTCCTGCCAAAGTTCAGCACTTCCTAGAAAAGTCTCATGCCTGTTTGATATTGTACTTCACTTTAGTCACCAAAGGAAGAATTTACAGGTGCTTGGCCCCATCTATAAGACCATGACCGAAATCTGACCTCCTGTTACAATACATGAACTTCTGCCCTACTGATAAGGCTGGCAGATATAAGTAGGATTTTTCAAATAATCCTTTGGGAATTTATAAGCAGCACAGCCATAAAGGGGGGTGAATGGAAGGTCGGTTTCACTAAAAATAATAAATATTGCCATGTTTATTCAAAGTATGCCTTGTTATGCTCCAGGCCAAAAGTTCAGATAAACACTATTGTAAATGACAAAATATTAGAACTTTTTGTTACTTGTGTTATGATCCTTCCGTTGAACACCAACAGAACTGTTTTCCCCTGTATAAAGCCTTGACATTGAATAGCATGTCCTGAGATGAGAATATTGGATTTGCTTGAGGGTCAAAAGAAGGGTGGTTATCTTTCACCAAAAAAAAAACCTATTTTATATTGTGCTAATAATAAGTGATAAAGCAAAAACAAACCCCACAAGATTGAATAAACATTATACCTGTCCTAAAAGGAATCTTCTTTACTGATAAAGAGGAATACACCTTATTATGATGGTCAATGCAATACACATAGAGACACACACGGGGCCCTATGCCCTATAAATATGTGGAGAACAGATTCACTGAGCTCAATCTCCAATAATAGAAAAATTTGCTGGATGACAGGTATAAAGTAACTAAGAATCAAGAAATTAAAATAAAAGAGAATGAAAAGAGAAAGGCAATGAAATGGGAGTGATGACTGAGGTAGATGAACTACTATGCAGAAAGGATGACAGCCACAACATGCATCAGCATTTGAAAGAAAGGAGGTAAGCAGCAAGAAAAGGGAAAGACCGCTAAAGAGACTGATTCCTACAATATTTCTATGTCTTATAAGACAGATGGCCTGTGAGATTAAGTAGGTAGCATATGCTAGCCACAGAACTAGGACTATGGCAGGAGTCAAGTGTCAAGGATCAAGGATAGAGGGAATACTTAAGGTGACTGCTTTCACTAGGTATGATAAGTGAATAGAGGTAATGGCCTTATGATGAGGTGGGGGGGGAGAATAAGATAAAGTTCAACTATATTCACAAAATCTATAGGTCTAGATATGCAACTCAGGAAAGACCAAGAGTGTGGTGATTAAAACAATCTTTTTATGGCTTCTGGATCACTGAAATTTCAGGAGTCTGTAGGGCAGTGAAGTGTGAGAGACACATCAAGACACTAACTTTCTACTCTCCATAAGGGTGAGTGCAGAGGGTTTCTGGGTTTGCTTGTTGCTGTCATTAGGGGAGGCTGAATCCCGATCCTCCCACAATGCTAAGCACATCCTCTACCACTGAGCCCATGCCCAGTCCCAGCATATGCACCATTTTTTTTGTTTGTTTGTTTTTACGAGACAGGGTTTCTCTGTATTGTTTTGGAGGCTATCGGTCCAGCCTGGCCTCGAACCTCACAGAGATCCGCCTGCCTCTGCCTCCCGAGTGCTGGGATTAAAGGCGTGCGCCACCACCTCCCGGCGCATATGCACCTTTTAACAAAAACAAAAAACAGTAGAGGCACAGGTAGAACCCTGGGACCAGTGAAGGGCACAAAAAAGATGAGCCAACAAACACCAAAGTAGGCAGCAATATCAGAAAGGCTGGCAGAGAGGAAGAAACCATCATGAATAGGAAGAAAATGAGATTAATAAATGAGAGGTAAAAATGATCTGTAAAATCAAAGTCCTGCAGATACACACTCAGAGAGTAGTAAGAGGGAAGAGAAGCACTTTGGATTGATAAGAATGAAGAAATTAAGACAATACTGGAATGTAAGGAACTAGTACTATATAGTTTATGTTCTTTGTCTCCATTCTTCAGTTTCCAAATCCTCTTTTTCTCAAAGCCTAAGATTAATGCTAACTATATTAGAAAATATGGTCATTACAATGAATATTTATGTTGAGTAACATTTTTAAATATTCTTATTAAACTGTGAGGAGCTCCACTTTACCATGAAGTGATGTGCACAGCTGATTTGAACACAGCTTTACATAATGGCAAGATTACAGCCTCAGGTCTATGAACTCAACAGAAGGTTGCATGTGCCCCACCATCGCTTAGCAAAACCGGTCTTGGATTTTATTCAGAGTCCCCATAAGTCTAAAAGAGGAGTGTGTAAATAATAAACATATAGCCCAAAACAAAATGAGTGTTCACCAGCTGTGAATTTCCAAACTGCAGCAACACTGTCAATGGTCTTAACACCTGCACAGGCCAGGAAACAGTGCCTTAGACATTGTTGCAGAGAATCTGTGCATATCAACTATGTCACCATTTCAAATACTAATATGCAGAATCCTATTTCAATTAGATAGTTTTGTAATTTGATCATTTCTAAGTCTGTAGGCTCTGGTTCTCATAAGTTAAGCTTGTATGTTCCTTGTTAATTAAGAAATACATTTTAATTGTCTATTTGTTAATAAGAGTCTAGACCTCCTATACACATGTCTGTACTTCATTGTGTATGCTTCTGAAAATACTAGTGCTGTGTTTATACATCAGCACCTGAAATAATATCATCTAACCATACAACTGCCATTTATTAAACAGCAATCATTTGCCAAGGATAGAGTGGCACTGTCACTAACTAAACTAAGTAGGAAATTATTATCCCATTTCATACATGAGTGTGCTAGGCCACCCTAACACACACACAGCTACAAAAGGTGCAAGTAAATGATTTTACTACTGTTAGAATTCCCACTTGAGGCAAATTTGTTCTGCTTTCATAAAACCGTAACAAAGTTTATAAAAGGCAGCACACAGTGGTAAAACAGTGCTGCCACATTAGTGTCAGCCCAAGATTGTACTTCCATGCTGGCACACTGCAACCCTCACTTACCTAGATATCCACACATATCCTAATCTATTTCATACAGAAGAGACATTAAATGAGTAAACAAACCTGTATACCAATAATGACATTTCCATCAGCATAGTGTCAATGATAAAACACTGAAGACAATGCAAGGGGAATATTGTCATCTTGGAAGGGGGGGAAGGGGGAGGGTTTGAAAACAGTTGGTTTGAGGGGGATGGTTGCTTGTTTGTATGCCAGTTCAGGTTTAAGTTTTTGTTTGTTTTATGGAAGATCAAACATCATGAACTATAACTTTAAAACTGATGGGCCTGGTTACCTCAAAATTAAAGACTTCCATTTCAAGAAACATAAACACAATTTGCAGTACAGAGACAAACTGGAGGGATGTTTACAATATCCTAAACTGTCAATATCAACTACATAGAAGGAATTTCTGAAATTTCTATTTCTAAGGAAAAAAAGCCCCAAATAAAATACTAGTCAAGCTTTAGAAATATGTATGATGTAGTTAATGAGTCTATAGAGAAAAGCACAATTTGTACCAGCAGTCAAAGAAACTCACATGGCTCTGTTCATCAGTACCTCTGCACACAGGCGGATGGCCACAGTAGGAAACAGCCAATTCCTAGGACCCGATTAATACCACAGTAATTCCCTTTTGGAAAATTCCTTTTACTAGTGCTTTATGGAACGAAAAGCAATTGTCAAAAAATACTTTTCATAAGTATTTAAATGTATAAAAAGCAAGTTATTCTAGATATATTAGAAACAAAGAAATTTGAATACATGTAACTATCCTACTCTTTTTGTTTTGTTTTGTTTTTTGCTTTTCGAGACAGGGTTTCTCCATTTAACAACTTTGACTGTCCTGGAACTCAGTCTGTAGGCCCACCTGACCTCAACTCACAGAGATCCATCTGCCTTTGCCTCCCAAGCACTGTGATTAAAGGTGTGTGCCACCGCTGCCTGGCTAACTATCCTCCTACTTATAACCTACCATCTATTGATGGCTGTTTGAGCTGTCATCAGCTATATAGCATTTTACAAGACAAGTATAAATAAGATTCAAGAAGAGCATAAGGAATTAGTTAATACTCATTAAATAAAATTTTGCTTAAAAACAATTGAAAAAAACAATAACAAACCAGAATTTTGGGTTTAAAACATATCTGTATTAGGAAGGTCAGATAAAGACTCACCAGAACAGAATATATGTGCAGACACCGGTACACAGGAGAGAAATCCACCAAGTCTTGAGCCCCAGGTACCTAGAAGTATATAATTACAAAAATATCAAATAAAATTATAATGGGAAAAGCTGCATTAATTTTATTTTTACTACTAAAGCAGTGATTTGTTTTCAAAGCCACCACTATATTCTGAGAGGGAAATTCAAAACAAACAAAAGAAAAATGTTTTCAGGTTGCAGAGATAGCTCAATGCTTGCTGTTCTTTAAGAAGACCTGAGTTCAGTTCCCAGCTCACATAATGTAATTCACAACCACTGTAATTACAGTTACAGGAGATCGAACACCCTCTCCTGGCCTTCATGAGTACCCACAGGTGGCATACACAGAGAGAAACACATACATACACATAAAAATAAACCTCAAAAAAAAAGTCACATTCCAAAGCAAGATACATATCTGTACTGTAATCCTTGAACTAGGGAAGCATTAACATCAAGAGTTCAAGGTCATCTTCAGGTACATGAAATTCAATCTCAAAAATTAGAGAAACAGAGAGGGGGAGCAAGCTAGAGAGAGACGGGGAGGGAGGGAGGGAAGGAGGGAGGGAGGGAGGGAGGGAGGGAGGGAGGGAGGGAGGGAGGGAGGGAGGGAGGGAGGGAGGGAGGGAGGGAGGGAGGGAGGGAGAGAGAGAGAGAGAGAGAGAGAGAGAGAGAGAGAGAGAGAGAGAATTTTTTATTCTAGTCACAAACTGGACTGACAGGATCCAGGTGGCCAAGTACATAAGTAATTACAATACAGATCTAGCTGGTTTTTCCTGTCATGATGGTAACTATGTAAATCACTAGCCAAAAACAGCTGACTCATGGTTACAATGCTGCCTCCCTTTCTTTCATAAAACAAACACTGTCTCTTTTTCAGGCAGAGCTTCTCTAACCAGGACTGTTCTCAAAGGAAAATGGTCTTTGTTCTACAGACCACATTGCACTGGACCCTGGCTGGAACCACCTGTCACTCTACCTTCTGCTCTGTTCCACCAGGCCTACTGTAGGTCTCCAGATTTAAGTGCTAAGGCCTCTTCAAGTAAAATAGCTTCTGTGGGAGCCAAAAGACTCTGTGCCATGGGGTCTCTTATTTCAAGTGACCAGTCACCTCCATATGATGACAGCATGGAAACTTTAAAGAAATTATCTTGCCAGAAAACAAGAGTCTAAAGCTATATAAAACATAACATCAAAAGAAAAAAATTTACAGATTTTAGTTCTTAAACTACCTAAAAACCATGAAATCAAAGGAAATATGCAGAGCAAAAATGGATCTGTAGAGGAAATGAAAATACTTATTTAGAATAACTGTGGTAGCTTATGATATATGTGCCTAATTTTGACCAGCAAATTCAACCACAGCCTTGTTTCACAGGTTCCTCATGCAGTCTGCTTATTTAGGTTCACTTTGTCACACAGCTAGTTTCTCTCAAAAAGAAAACCACTGGAAGCTATTTCTCAGGCAGAACCTTGAACCAAGACTTGTCAGAGCCATCCTTACAGAATAAACAGCAATAATAAGGGGCACTTCCCTAGGGAGCTGGGACAAATAAGCTTACAGGCCCCTTAGCAACTAGGAAAGGCATTTTGTTGCTAATAGATTAGGATTGGTCTCTCTCTACTAATGTTTTTAAAAGGGGTATATTGAAAGGTGACAAAGTTCTTTTCTGTCACTGACAGGAAGTCTATCTTCTGACTGTTTATAGTGTTCTGACATATAGGTGTTTATTCTACTATTTTTTTTTGGCCCAAACCTATACAGATACATTCTCCTGAGTCAAGCAAAACTATCCGCTTTAAAGCAGCACAAAAAGAGCTAGGCAAAAAGTAAATGGGGCAAAAAGAGGCTGCAGCTCACCAACTCTCCCTCCCTCCACAAACAGCCCAATATTTAGAAATCCTTTTTCCTCCCTGCTCCCCTCTGAGAGCACACCAGGAGTGAGCACAGTGAGGAAGCAGGGAGTGCTGTGAGGACAGAGGCATGACAAGTATGCACTGACTCATGTTGCTTTGAGCTGGATGTGTTTTCTCTGCTTCTACTAATGAAAAAGAATCACTTACATCTACAGAAGGCAAGAGGAGAAGAGCAACAAGCACTGCATGAAGGAATGTCACCCTTCTGCAAGATGGAATGTAAGAGGGCTCCGGGACAAAAGCTGCTGCCCTGGTACCAACAGGCAATAACCTGTCTGCTTTAAGGTGCACCTTCTGCTCTCCAATCTGCTCTGGCGGTGCAGGCTTCATATTTTCTACCCCTCCTTGCCTCCCTTGTCCTCAAATTGCAAAGAACGATTCAAGCCAACTTGGATTTCATCTAGGAAGGGTCAAAAAACACTTTCCTAAGCTAACAATGACTATCTCTAATGGTTTCAGTCCCCTAACAAAAGCCATGACTCTTATCTGCTTCATCTAATTTTTCCTTTCCAAAGTAAATAAAACAGCCCTTGCATTTTACACATGTCCAAATTTGACAAATCAGTATCCACAGAGACTGGAACTGATAAGAGATAACTTTGTGGTGGGACACTGTCATTTCCTCTTACGAGGGCTTTCTTTGGGGCTACAACAACATGATTAAAATAGTTAAACATTTCCTTTGCCTGGCAGTCAGGAACTCAAGACATTAAGACCCTGGAGTCTGTATTTTCCTACAAGTTCAAATAGACCTAAGAAGACAACAGCAGAGACCACAAACAGTACACAGGGCATGACCTTGCTTTGTCCCTAATGTTAAGAGATCATATGAAATCACTTCATCACCAAGGACAGCAACTGCCTAATTGGCTTGCACAGTTGCAAGAGCAAAGTGAATGCCTCCCACCAGGCAAAAACTCAGGATTTTCTCAAGAAGCAACAGTTAGTAAGATTTTAGATGGTACAGCTATACAATTTGTGCCCCCAGAGAACATCATCTAAGGTAACAAACACAGCATTTTTGAACAAAATAAATAACATCTATGAAAAGGTATGTTAGAGTGACTGAACCACAACACAGAAGTAGAGAGGGAGGCAACTGCTGCCCACTATTACCATTGCACATTCACAAAGACAGTAACAGTTTCAGCCAAGCCAATGCTTCCAAACTTGCATCTATAGAATATTTATTCAGCAGCATTTACATATGATACATGCATCAGCAACCATAACACAAGCTACCCTCAGAGAACAAAATGACTCAAGGACAGAAGAGAATACCAGTTAAGAAAAGCATAAATAGGATTGATAACAACTGAAAATGATCTTCTATCTATGCAGACACTATTTCTTGAAGAAAAAAATTGAAGATTTAGAATAGTCGTGGACTATCTCACAGTTAGGAAGAAACTAACTAACATTTCTGATCATGAAAATGTTTGAGAAACACCAGGATCTGGTTTGTATGTGATCTTTCCCTTATTTAATACACCTTGCTTCAGGTAAAAGGGTCTCCGAGAATAGAAAATGAGTGATGAAAGTTCTCCTCAATCATAAAGGGACACTATTTTACATAAAAGAAAATTTCTGACTCAAAGCAAATGAAGACACTCAAGCTTCACCAGATGCTAATCTTCCCTTCCCCACAAAGAGCACGACTGAGTCTACTTCATCTTTTGTTTTGTTTTGTTTTGTTTTGTTTTGTTTTGTTTTTACGAGACAGGGTTTCTCTGTATTGTTTCGGAGGCTATCGGTCCAGCCTGGCCTCGAACTCACAGAGATCCGCCTGCCTCTGAGTGCTGTGATTAAAGGCGTGCACCACCACCGCCCAGATACTTTTATCTTTTTTAAAAGACTCACTAAGGAAAGCTAGTTAAGGCTGGTATCCTGGCATGCCCAAAAGAATTAGGCAGAAGGGCCCTGAGTTAGAAACCAGCCTAGACTTTCTCTCAAGACTTTGTCCAAAAACGAAAATCTGCAAGCAAACTTATCTAGCCTAATAAGCGTTCCTTCTTTGTTGCTGGATAAGCATAAGCATAGTCTTATACCAGAAAAACTGAATGCAAGAGTTAATTTCTTCCCTGCACCCCAAAGCAACAAATGGACTATGATTCTCCTCCACTGCTCATAAACACAGAACATTACTTCACTCCAGCCTTGCTGTTCACACATTTGCCCCAGAGGACAAACACATACACAAAAACCTGCTCTCACTCGCCTTTGTACACATTCCTCATTTATTTTCCTCTTAAGAAACCTTTCAAAACTGATGAAAAAAATAGACTGAACAAAAGGAATATGATAGAGGCTCATAGGAATTTAGGTTTGTTTGTCAATAATTATTTGAGCCATTTTCCATCACCATCAAAATACTTCTGATTGGTACTCCACACAAAGCAGTTTCTTGGTATTAGTAAATAAGTGCAGAAACTGGGGCTCATTTCTAAGCATTATTTGGATCTGAAGTCATTAAAATGTACCTCACATTTTCTGCAGGGAGTGAACAATAAATGATTAGCTAGAGAGACCAGGCTTCTGCATTCAGAGATTCAATTGAAGCTACCCATGTTATGTTTGGAAGCCAGGAAATACCTGGCAGACATTTTTTATCAGGATGCTTTCTGAATTACTTTGCCTTCATGAGTTCAGAGAAAAGAGGGTGGAATCCATTTGGATATAAGATCTCATGAAGACAGACTAAACACCACAGAATAACAACAAAGTAGCAGGACTAGGATCCTGAGTAACCAGATGTATCATGATGCTCTACGCTTTAACTAGAGCTCTATCCTGAAAAGTTAGAATTTTCCTACAAAGATGCTCTCAAATTATTATATGAGAAATCTCCAAAAAAGGTTACCACACAAGTTGTTCAAGTATTTGTACTAATCACAGAAGTAATAAGTACAAAAATTGCCATTCTCCTTATTAAGGCACCACAAAAACACTGTGTTCAAAATACAAGGATAATCCCTTCAGAATTATCTTCAAAATGAACACTGGTGGAATAAAAACACAAATAGTCTTTATTTAACAAGTGTCTAGTTCTATAGATACTAAAATTGTTAGGGAAATGGGCAATTTAACAGTAAACTCAATACTAAATACAAAAGGTCTGGGCTG